AAAAAGGCCCCCAACCCCCAAAATAAAAAGTTAAATATGCAAAAATGTTTACTGAAAAATATATTTAAAATGTATACACACAATTAAATTGGCCATGGCTAATGACTTCATGTATTTACGCAAATATTTTAGTAATCATGCCCAATAAAACATTTAAATCGTCCAGAACAGCAGTACAAAAACCAAAACAACAAAAAAGCACTCTCAATCATTAGGTCACTTTTCAAATTTTCATCTCATAATTCTCTTTATATGTAAAGTTTACTTTCTACCTACCACCAGGTAACAATGGACATATTAGCTGTACCGCCCAATATGGCAACTAAACAGAAAAGGAAGCAGTCAAGCTGTTAATGAATACCACTACAGTGGTAATATCTCCTGGTGCCACTCAGAGTTAAAGGGCCTTTTCGAGGGACTGAACACTCATTGCTCCTATTGACTCAAAAGATGTTGTAGGTGCTCAACAATTTGAAATCCCTTATTTAAAGCTCAGTTCAGATGCACCATCAGTTTCTGGTGCAGTCCTGTAATTTTGCAGCAGGCCTCATCAGAGAAGAAGGAGGTCAAATGATTTGCCTGAGCTCACACAGTGACTGCACCTGGATGAGGATCATTTCCCAGACAATAATGAAACCCTAAGACCACAACTGCCTGTGTTACAATTCTGGACTGGAATTTGAGCATAGGATCTCAAGCAATTTCTTTCTGCAGTTCCAAAACTGGTTTAATATGTTTTCATGTTTGTATGATTTAGCTGTTATCAGGGGGGTTTCAGCAGATCATTTTGTGAAGCTGATCAGTTAATAAAGCTATAGTACATATTTTTAGTATTTAAAAAAAGAGCAGAGAGGCCAGTAATGTTATGCCATGGTGCTTGCCAAAATGTGAACAGTAGTGCAGAACTATTAATGGGAGTTTTGCTATGGGAGCAAGCATACCAAGTTCCTTTGAGAGACATTTTTGTCAACTTTTTGTGATTAAAGCAATACAGCTGGTCCCCAACTTACAAACGAGTTATGTTCCAAGCTCTTGGTCATAACTCAATGTGTTCGTAAGTCGGATTACATTCACTGACGTACAGCTGCGCTGCTCGTAAGTGCGGATTTCATTCATAACTCGGGTTCCGGCTGCATAGGATGTTGGTCATAAATAGAATGGTCGTAAATCGAGTACTGCATAGGATGTTGGTCATAAATAGAACGGTCGTAAATCGAGTGTTCGTAACTCGGGGACCAGCTATATTATTACTGATCCTTTTGGGGCTAGTTTCAGAGTGGTTCTTATTGGTTTCTTTGTTTTTGATGGTCTGCTGCAACGCTTGGTGGATGGTAAAATGGAGTGGATCCTGGCTAACACGCTGACATTTTTAAGTGGTTTCATAAATAGAGAAACCACTTTCCAAAGGGATGGTCTCTAAACTAAGAACTACTGAAATAACCTGTCCCCGTCAGGTAATTTATGTTGCCACTTCCACTTCAAGTGGTAGTTACACTGGCAGCAGAGAGCAGATTATTAACAGGAGTCAAGATCGAGAACATTACCTATTTCACATTACCTATGTCTCTGACCTATGCTCATAAGATATTCCACCAGTTTTGTCCAGATTCGTAAGTAGCTTAATAAGCATAAAGGAGAATTTTCCTTGTAACGTTACAAGCCACTTCTCATCCAAATGTATGTAAACATGATAGACTGCAACAAGTCTTCAATAGGGATTCTGGTAATTTGTGAAACTCCTAACTAAATAACATAGCCATAGTCATTGTGGTCTAATAGCTAATATTGGTATTTAGAAACAGCTAAAATATTTACATGGACTATAAAGTTGAAAAAGGAATAGTTTTAATTTATCGTTTCATTATTCACTCAATGAAGTTTAGTACATTGAAAAGAGTAAAAATGGAGACTAGTTTAAACTTACATATCAAAACACTTAAGATCACTTAAGATCAACCTGTTCGGTTTTGATAGTAAAATACAGAATGTTTTAAAAAAAATATCTCTGTTCAGAGACATTTTAGGCACCAAATTATGATGCTAAATGTAGAATCAGACTCAATTCTGAGATTTTGGGAGCTAACAGCCCTTTAAAGGCCTGGTCTACTCTAGACCTGAAAGGTCTGGTTAAGGTACGCAACTGCAGCTATGTAAAATACGTAGCTGGAGTCTGCTTAACTTAAGCCAAGCTTTGTGCTGTCTTCACAGAAGGACGCTGACAGGAGTAAATGCTTCCATCAGCTTTACTTACTGCTCACGACTGAGTAGTACTGGCATCGACCAGACATGCCTCAGCATTCAATTTCAGTGGGTCTTAACTAGATCTGCAAAATCAAACACCAGAAGATCGATCTCTGGTGTGGCAAGTGAAGATGTGGGAATAATTTCTTTTTCTGTATTTAACAATTGTACTGATATGATTTGTTGTTCTATTCCACTAAATGCAATAACTGCACTGTGATTTAACATATTTAACAGTATCTTTGGTCACAATAAAATCAAATATATAATCCAATAGTTTAGACGTTTACTTCTTCCACAGCTGGAAATAAATATTTTCAAACCATATGACCTTTCTTAAATAGAGGTGCAATTTATTCACTAACGAGGCTCAGTTTATTAACATTTTGGGTTGACATAACTGAAAATCTTTTGGGAAATAATAAAGCAAAATTACTACTACTCCAATGCCTACTTCTGAAGTGTGAGCATTATTTTTGCTAACTTGACAGTATAAAATTCAGATTCCATTTTTCCTTTTTAAAAAATCCCATGAAAAGAGTTGCTTTTACTTAAATGTTCCCCTGCAGTGCCAGCATCATGTCAGTTAGTGCAGAACAGTTGGAAAATGGAACTAACTACGGTTGAACCTCTCTAGTCCGGCATCCTCTGGACCTGACCAGTGCCAAACCAAAGAATTTGCCAAGCTATGGGAGGTCAATATTGTCTAGCAACATTACCAACACTTTCACTGCTTACTAGGCACTTAGAAGATATATGGGGTAAATCAGAGCTAAACAACAGTACACAACACTGAGAGCCAGGACAAGTGTCTGTAAACAAACTTTATGGGACCTGGAAAACTTGGCTACACCCACGATTAGAAGAAATCCGGCAAAATAAAATCATGCCAGACCACAGATGTTGCCAGAACAGAAAGAGGCGAACTAGAGAGGTTCAACCTGTAGAAACAAAAAAGTTAATTTGATTAGTCTGTTTTCATGGTTCTAGCTGAGTGAAATGCAAAAAAATCAAACTTCATACATAGTGAAAATTTAAATTTTCACAAGAATCTTAAGTTATTGGTTGCTAAAATAATATTTTATGTGACTGCATCCCTTGAAAATTAAAAAACTGCCTGAAAATGTTCTTGCTATAGAGAAATGTTTTTGCTATTATATTCCATTTGATTTTCTAAAGCAGGTTAAGGTTTGTATAGAAAGTCAAAGAAGAATTTATTTTTAAACTACCAAACAACTTATTAATACTATTTTCTTTACTAACATTTTTTTCTAAAATAAGATCATGTTGGTGTAGAGAACACTACCATTTTTATCCTGACTATATGTAATGGCTAACAGTAATTAGTTATTTATAATAAATTAGGCCCAATATATCAATGGAATAAAGTAATGGAAAATTATGAACCCTTCAACAGAAATATACTAATTTCATTCTTTACAATAGCTAAAATGGATTTAATCTAATTCAAGATTAATTTCATCACTTGTATTTTATATTACTTTAAGACTCTTCTATACAACAAGTTGAACAAAACAAAACAAACATACTAATAGCCCCTCCCCATAATGGTTTTAATACATAAGATATTTAAAATTATCTATTGTAGCTTTTTTAAAAAAGGTAGCAGAGTCTAAAGGCAGTGTAAGAATCAGTATCTGGTGATTGAGACTATAGTCATCTCCATTCTGAGTGGGATAAATGTGGGGGGAAGAAAGACTGCAGAAGCAACATCTCAAGTTATGAAAAATAAACTTGTGCACGTAGCATTTAGTTTGCCAAATCTTCAGGGACTTTGCTTTTTTTCCTTGGTTGTAGTTGAAATACTTTGTTTGCTCTGTGGCAGTATATTGCACTGTGTTCAGTTATAAAGTTTTCAATCTGTCTCTTAACTTTGGGTGCTTTTCGTGCGGGCATGTGTGTGTCCATGTGCGTGTGTGCAAGTTTCAATTTAGTTTCACTGAACACAGTGCAAACAAAGGCAAGAAACTAAAGTTACAACATCAAGACTAGGCGCTCACACTAAAAACATAAAAGCAGCATCTTGTATATTCTGTTTTCTACTGTCTTCATTCTGGGGAAGAGGAATCATCATCATCTTCATCTTCATCTTCATCATTGAATGAGCATGGTGTTTCTCCTCGTGACTCTGAATAACGTGATGTTGCACTGCTGGACTGTTGACTTCCAGGGGCAAGGAACTGGCCAGTTGCTAAGGCCACTTCAGCATCCAGACACAACCCTAGATTTCCACTATCAAAACAGAAAAGTCATCCTGTAACTTGAGAGAATTTCTCATGATATTTGACATTTTTTTGTGCTTCTTGATTTTATTTAAAAAAGAAACTAACAACAAGTAACTTGAGTTAGGAACTCTTGGGGCCAGAAAAAAACAAAACAGGATTTCTATCCAAATACAGCATGACAAACATTTTGGGCTAGTGATCAATTTATATTTTAAAGCCAATTCACAACCAAGATATTTAAAAACTGAAGTGACGATTAGGCAGTGTGGAATTTATAACTTTTGCCAGTACCATCATGGAAACAACATGTAAAGACATAAAACATTTAACTTAAAATACTCAATGTTCCAACTTGGATGGACATGAAAAAAATGTCTCGTACTACTCCATACTGATGAATAATGTATACATAAGTCTGAACTGTTCACACATAGTTCTGAATTATGAATAAAAATTTGTAGATCTTTCTAAAAGATGAAGACACATCACTTTTTCAAGTGTCCTATACAAACACAGTTTGTCCAATTAACCTCAAAAGTACACACTCTCTCCCCTCAACTCAGAAACTATCTGTGGAAAGAAGCCTTTTATCAGAAAGTTAGAATGTTCCAAAACTCTGTCATCACAGAAACTTATTTTGTATACATTTGAAATGTTACTGTGACACCTCTGTAATGTTTCAGTGTAGAGATTACCTATGTTAACAGGGCAGGTTCTGTTGTCAGTATAGGATGCACTTTCCCTAGGGCTGGTAGCTAGGGTGACAGAATTCTTTGGTCAACATAGTGCTATCGATATCAAGGGTTACCTGTGTCCAGGATGAGGATTTTTCACGTGTGAGTGATGTAGCTAGATCGACCTAACTTTTTAGTGTAGTCCAGGCCATAGTGTCGTCCTTTATATTTAATTGGGGAGAACTTAATTCCTGTGCAGTAATATCCTATTTTGAGAGGATTAGTGGTGGTTAGGAATATTGAAGGGCTATCCTATCAGGAGAAATTAATAAGACTGGAACTTCTCATCTTGGAAAAGAGATCACTAAGTGGGGATGTGACAGAAGTCTATAAAATCATGCCTGGTGTGGAGATATTCAGGGTGAATTTTGCACTTTATTAATAAGAGTATCACAGCAATCTAGCCTTTACTGTTTGAAATAGAAAAATCACCCTGGTTACCTTGATTTAGAAATAGAGGTACCGCCAGACACTTCTGAAGATGAAACTGGCTGAGCTGAGTTTAAAAGTAATCCCTGGTTCAACCATGAAAGTCCTGTAGACATATCTAAAAGAAAATACACAGTTACACACTGAAGTTACAGAATATTTTAAAGAGGTACCCATGTTAGTCTGTTTCAACAAAAAACAACAAAGGGGTCTGGTGACACTTTAAATGCTAACAAATTTATTAAGGTATAAGCTTTCATGAGCTACAACTCACTTCAGATGGTGAAAAGAAAAGAAAGAAAAAAAGGGATATGGAGATGCAAGTGTGACATTGGTACTCATTAAATCGGAGTGGATGTAGATCATTTCCAACAGTGGTGAGAAGGTGAAAGTACTCGAGTGGGAAGTATTCGCTTTTCTTTCTTTACAATGCTAGAATCTGTATTTAACTTGCTTTTGGATATCTAGATTTAAATGTAGGCACCACATATTCATTTTGCACCATTAATTATAATGTTGCAAATACAATCATCATAATCAAAAGTGATATTCAGGAAACGTTCAGTGTTTATTTTCTACTAATGACTTTGAGATTAAATTTGCTCATTGAAAGTGTCAAATAGGTTCCAAATACTGCAACTTCAAGATCAGCCTAATATCTAAATGCTGGCTATAACTATACTTAAACCTCTGAAAACAGGAGTTATGACATGCTAAACAGCCTTATCATTCAACTTTAACTCTACCACATGGAAAAAATTTAAACAACAAATAGTCTTGTAGCACCTTAGAAACTAACAAAAAATGGAGATGGTATCATGAACTTTTGTGAGCACAACCCACTTCTTCAGATGAATGGAATTTAAAGGGTCCATTTTTCAAATAAATAGCACAGAAAGGAGATGGGGCGGGGAGAGGAGGAAAAAGAAGGAAAAAAGGGGAAATTATAGTGTCCATGCTAAATGATGCTGATTAGAATACTTAGTATTCACTTTAAGTACTCTTTGTTCGTTTTTTTATGTCATTAGGATGTGCAATGTAGTGGGCCATCCAGCCAACATTTTTATTTACACTTTTGTGGTAGGTATCAAGCTTGTAATGAAATTAAGTTCTGTAGTTTCCCTGTTGAGCTGGCTTTTGAAATTGGCTTGAAATAATACGGTGACTTTGAGATCCATTAATGAGTACCCAGGAGCAAGTTAAAATGTTCCCCAACAGGTTTCTGTGTGTTGCCTTTTTTGGGTATCTGATTTGTATCCATTAATTCTCTCTTATAGAGACTGTCCTGTTTGGCCAATATACAGTGGGGCATTGCTGGCATTTGATGGCATAGATCACATTAGGGGATGTGCAGTTATATAAGCCTCTGATGTGGTGGTTTACGTGGTTAGGTCCTGTGATATCGCCTGTCCAGATGTGTGGACAGAGTTGGTATCGGGGTTGATTGCAGGGGTGGGTTCTTGGATGAGCATGATGGAGGTGTGCTGTGTGGTTATCGGAAAGCATTTGTTTGAGATTGGGGTGCTCTTTAGGTGAGGATTGGTCTGTCCCCCAAGACTTGTGAGAGTGAGGGGCCATTTTCCAGCCTAGGTTGTAGACTGTTGATAATGCGTTAGAGAGGTTTAAGTTGGGGGCTGTAGGTAATGACAAGTGGTGTCCTGCTGTCTTCTCAGTAGGGCCTATCTTGAAGTAGCTGATGTCTGGGTACTTGTCTGACTCTGTCAATCTGGTTTTTTTACTTCTCTGGGTGGGTATTTCAGTTTTAAGAAAGCTTGATATAAATCCTGTAGGTGTTTGTCTCTGTGCGATTGGAGCAAATCTGGTTGTATCTTAGGGGCTGGCTGTAAACAACTGATTCAGAAATGTGTCTTGGATGGAAGCTAGAGACATGTAGGTAAGTGTAACAGTTCGTAGGTTTCTGGTATAAGGTGGTGGAAATGTGTCTGTCCTGTAATTGTACAGTAGTGTCAAGGAAGTGGATCTCTTGTGTGAACTGGTTCAAGCTAAGGTTGATGGTAGGGTGAAAGTTGTTGAAATCTCTGTGCAAACTGGATCATTTAAACTCCATTCATCTTAAGAAGTGGGTTGTGCCCACAAAAGCTCATGATACCATCTACATTTTTTGTTAGTCTCCAAGGTGCTGCAAGACTATTTGTTGTTTTTAAAGATTTTCCAGTTACAGACTAACCTAGTTACCCCCCAAACTCTACCACATGGAGTTGGCAAGAGCCAATGCAGATTACTTTAAATATGTTTCAGCCAGGGCTGACCTAAAACAAGAAGAAGCAAGGAATGACATAAATGTGGTATGTTGTACAGAATAATATTCTCTCATTTGTCTATATACATTCCAACATACGACATAAATGTGGTATGTTGTACAGAATATACATTTGTCTATATACATTCCAACATAGACAGTATGCTGTAGGTCCGTGGTCACCAACCCATCGATCGTGATCTACTGGTCGATCTTGGGGGCCCGATCAGTCGATCACAAGGCTTTTGGGGGGCCCCCCTCACTGCCCCCACCTCCAAAGATGAATGCTGCGCTGATACTACCTCCAGGAACAATGGAAGTAGCACGGGCTTCCAGCGGGTTCAGGAGAGTTCTGCAGCCGCGCACCTGGTACCAGAAGTGTGCGGGCTGCTCTTCCTTCCCTCTGAACAGCCGGCACAGTACCTAAAATGCCAGTCCATTGCCTGCTGAAGACTTTGTTCCTCTGCTGCCTTCCTGTGCACGGGGAAGTGGTTGGGTGTCCCGGACTGCGCCGGCTCTGGCTGCTCAGGCAACGCATGCTGCTATGGGGAGGGGAGGAGTAAGGTGCAAGTTTCCCTTGTGGTTGGCGTGGTCTGGGACTCCCCTGTCCCCCACAGGCAGGCAGCAGGGGAATAAAGTCCCCAGCATGCGCTGCCCAAGTGGCTGGGGCTGGCATAGTCTGAGACTCCCCTTCCAACTGCCCGAGCAGCTGAAGCCGGCGCGCTGGGGATTTTATTCCCCGGCTTCCTGCCTGGAGGGAGTGGGGGGAGTCCCAGACCACGCCAACCACAACCGCTCGGGAAGCTTGAGCCTTACTCCTCCCCCCCGCAGCAGCACGCACTGCCTGAGCAGCCAGAACCAGCGCAGTCCCAGACACCCAACCCCTTCTCTGTGCGCAGGAAGGCAGCATGGGAACAAAGTCCCCAGTGTGCAACGGACCGGCATTTTAGGTTGGGGCTGGTGCGGGCTGGGACTCCCCACCCCTCCCCAGAAAGCAGAGGGGAATAAAGTCTCCAGTGCACCAGCAGGAGCCAATGTGCTCTGGGACTCCCCCTCCCCCCGTTCCCAGCAAAGCATCAGGCACATGATGAACCAGGGTTTCAGGTACCGTGCTACTGTTTAAGGCTTGGGGGAGCAGCCCACGCACTTCCTGGGCCTTGGCCTGCAACTGCAGGATCCCCAGGTACTGGTCCCTGTCCCTTCCCCCTGCCCAGACCCCCACAAGTACCCTGCCCCACCACCCACCGACCCCCTGTCCCTTGCCCCAGCACCCATTGGCACCCTGCCCCAGCACCCTCTGGCACCCTTCCCCAATACTATGTCCCCTGCTCCCACCACCACAGTTGGGGCCACATTAGTGAGTCATGTGGGGATGTTGGAGGAGTTTTTATTTTGAATCTCACTTGTGTGGCACCAACTGACTTTTCTGTGGGTCAGTGACCCCTGACTCAAAACAGGTTCCCTGCCCTTCTCATATATAAAGACAATGCAGAAACTTTTTGTGTTTGACCTAGTATTTTATTTAAAAATGAAGCCTGGCCAACAAACCCCCAATTAGGGCCAAGCCCCCATCTGCCCACAGCATCAGAACACTCCTGCACTCCCCTTTCCCCCAGACTGTAGATCTGAACCTATCATACACTGGAACCCCCTGCCCTGAGCCCCTCACATAGCCCAACCCAAATTCCTGCACCATCATATCCACAAGCCTGTGGCTTGCTTAGTACCCCAACCCTACATATGACCCCAACACTGCCGGGCCTGAAGCCCCCTCCCCAACTCAGCGTCCCCTTCTTCACCTCCTCCTGCATCTGGATTTCCTCCCAGAGCTTGCACCTCTCACCCCTTCCCACACCCAAATCACTCATTCCCACCCCAGAGTCTACACATCCTGTCTCAACCCAGCGAGGGTAAGGCTAGACTGCAGGAGTTTTTCAGGATTCCAGAGATATCCCAGAAAAACTCTTCTGCATCCAGGGATGCGTTTGTTCTTCTGCTTTTTTTAGTAGAAGAGCAAACATGCTCTTTTGGTAACCCCTATATTCCCCATTCCACGAGGAATAAGGGAGCTTCCAAAAGAAGGGGTTTTTCTGACATTTGGTCCAGTCTAGACAGACCAAATGTTGGAAAAACCTCTTCCTACAGAAGAATTGGGGGGAAAAAAGCAGCAGTTAGAGGGTTGGGGATAGCAAGTGATGGAGAGGAGAATAGAGAGGAAGGGGCAGGGCTTCGAGGAAGGGGCGGAGTGGTAGATTTTGGTTTGTTCTGTCATTTAAAAAGTGATCTTGGGTGTAAAAAGGTTGGAGACCACTGCTGTAGGTGCTGCTCCTAAGGGAGGCTTCAGGATAAACATGAAGGGATGGAAACTCTCGCAACTCTTAGGTGATTTATGCAGGTGAGGTAAAAGGAATAACCACTGGTGATCACTAAGCCTTCCTTAAATACAATTTTTGCCTGAGCACATGGTTTTACAGTTTCTCTTGCTGTCCCCAAGCACTCCATATCATCTGGAATGATAGAGTGCTAATCCAAACTGGATTTAGCTAGTTAAGAATAAAACATTCCTATACAAGAAAAAAGCATCCCCACGGGGTGTTATTGAGAAATAGCTATTCTAGAACAACTTCTAGCATAGACCATCACTTGAGGCTTGTGCACATTTAAAACACTGCTGTGCCACAGCTGCACTACTGCAGTATTTCAGTGAAGACATTTACTTATGCTGATGGGAGACATATTGGTATATGTCAGGGTCGGCTACCTTTGGCTCTCAGGCCTTCAGGGTAGGCTGTAAGATGTTTTGCTGACATTAACTGTCTGCAGACCTGGCCCCACCAAAGCTACCAGATGCCACTGTT